GTAATAAAGAATATAAAATTAAACAAAACATCAATCAATTAGAAGTAACGAAGGCCATGCTCTGAATCTTGTAGCATGACCAAGCATTGGCAAATTCAATATTACGGTTAACAAGAAATCCTTGTTAGTGGAGATATGATAATAAACTTTACAACCACGTTACACAAATACAAATTGACCACAATAGCATAAGAAATTTCCTTTCTTAAAGACCAGCGGATATAAGATATTTTCAGTATATATTTTTAAAACTCTATCTCATGTATACTTAAAACTTTCTTAAAACTCAAAGGACTTTTAAAATTTCAAACCCTTTATATAAAAAAACTCAATATGACAAGAAATAGATATATGAGCATGATTTATCCAAACACATAATATGCTTGTTACATGCAGCAAAGGTAGGTGAGATTCTGGTGATCAACTTGTATTCAACAAATAATAGGTTCATGAAATTAGTTCTTCCGACAAGAAATCATACATTTATATAGAGAAAATATCACATGTGCACATATCATTTGGTTCTGCAATCTCATGCACAATTAAATAATGTTATGAAGCAAATTTTGTGAACAAGTTTCTCCTGTAAACCTCGATCATACAACTATTTCTTGACAGGAGGAAATGGTTAATATTAAAAAAACTTTAGACTTGTAATTAGGGGCATAGATGTAATTTTACCTTCATTTACCTAAGAAAAACGAAAGCTCTGTCAAATATAAACTTTTGTATACAAAAAAAAAAAAAACCTGGTCATAATAAATAAAAATTGATGTGCATGCGTGCAATGTTATATGATAAGAACAACTGGTGATTCCTAACAAGGTAATTCATTTGCAGATTGCTTTACATTGAAAAGTTCATTTCGGTGAATTTATCACTTTGTCTCGACTAACAAGTAAAATATATTTACAATGCTAAGAGTCTTGAAGACTAATATATAAACCTTACGAGTTGAACGAAATAATGATTTGTACAACACCATGTAGTTTGCGTTCCACAAGAAAAAAAACTATGTCAAATGATGGTATCTCTTCGTCAATTCAATATTTCTCTAGGATTACGACAATTACAAAAAGTACTTTGTTGTAGAAAGACATGCAGGTTTGACAGTAGATTATAGAACACTAAAGTGCATAAAGATGTGAATTACTTCTACTAAAGCAACAGCTAATTCATCCTAGTAGGAACATTAAGGAACCCATCAAATGCCTCGAACAAATTAGGATGAAATTGATTTATCATTTCAATTCGAGCAGCTTTCTTCTCGTCCTGCTCCTGCATGACTCGTTGGCGGCAAGCCTTGTGGGCTTTGAATTTATGTTCCTTGAAAGGCCAATGAATGGGGATTTCAGGGTCCTCTATCTTAGGCTTGTTGTTTATGCCCAATTTATTGGCGTCTTTTGCCTTTTTCTTTTGGTACTCCTTTCAATCTTATATACGTTCGAGTGATCCAGCTCCTGCAACACCAGCTTACACGATCAGCAGCACCTTCCAGTCAGCAGCACCTTCAGCAATAGCAGATCACGTTCAGCATGCTTATTGCCTTCTTCCAGATCCTTCTAAATTCACCAGCACATGTAGCTCCTTCTAGTTCCTTCCTTAGTTTGTTATATTGTTAAGTTTGTTAGATAGTTTGTTATATTTTTCTCTATAAATAAATTAGTGTGCATTGTAATTTTCTAAGTTGAATGGAATACATTCCTCTTCTCTGCTGTAACAGCAGGTTTACCATTTTCTTCCTGCAATAGCTGTTTTCCAGCTTTATTTCTGTTTCATGTTTTCTAATAAATGTTGAGAAACTGGAAACTAGCCAGAATCAATAACCAGAAATCATGCACCAGCAGTAAATGAATTAACACCAGCAAGGACAATGAAACTGAATTGAGAGAAAACGAAAATGAAATGAAACTAAAATCTGAAAATGATAGAGCCTGCTGTAGCAGGGAAGAAGATGAAATTAGATTCAATCAACTTAAGAATTACAATGCATAAGAGCTCTATTTA